AAAAAACTATAAACCCTGTGAGCCTATACACCCTATGCACCCTGGACCGGCCCAGGGTCCGCCAATAAGACCACGCTGGGTGCGGAGACGTTCCTGGGAGATGGGTCAGGGGCTGAGGGGGTTTGGGGTTTAGGGTCCCGTACTTGGAGGGCTTAGGGTGTTTTGCTAGGGTTTTTTTTCCCTCTCGCATGGCTGAGGATACTAAGGTTTAGGGTTTAGGCTTTTGGGTTTGTTTAGGCCGGGGGACTGAGTAAGTAGATACCATATAGACTCATATAGAGTTGTAAGTATCACAACCCCAAAGAGGATCCCTATTAGGGTGCTTATAAGTCTACTTACTAAGTCCCAAGACCCTCCAAGTAGGAGCTTGAGGCTTCAGGGGCCTTTAGGGCTTTAGGGGGGGGTTAGGGGTTAGGGATCTAGGGTTTATAGGGTTTTAGGGTTTAGGGTTTAGGGCTTAGGGTTTGGCGCCTAGGATTTAGGGTTTAGGGGTTGTGTGCGGTGCTAAAACGAGTTCTGCAAGGGTTCCAAACGGTTTGTGTGGGGTCTATTTTCTTAGAGGACACTGGGGGGTTGTAGCGGGTTTGCAGAGACTCCCGAAAGCCGTGCAAATAAGGACGACTTAGACTACTTGCAGGTTCATGGGTGGCTATAAGTGGGGTGTTCTAAGTCCCCTAAGTAGCGGTATAAGTATAGTCACCCTACTTCTAACTACCCCTAAACCCTAAACTCTAAAGGCCCTATAGAACCCTTTAAAGGAACCCCATAACCCTACTTCTCTACCTACCCATGAACCTCCAAGTAGACCGAACATCAGGTTCGGGTTCCTAAACCGGAGGGGATACACACCCTGAGCACTTGCGAACCCTAAACCTTTTCGGACCCTAAGCTTAAAAGGGCCTAAATCCTAAACCCAATCCTTTGATTATGTATGGGATACATTGGCTTCTGGAAGGCTTTAACCTGTAACTCAACAGGTTTTATACGAGTCTGAAAGAGCCCTTACAGTTACAGAGTGTCGAGGCCCCAGAACTAAGCCGTTCACAGACTATGCCCCACCCCCGTTCATCGCAAACGCTCTGTCCAAGTGCAAACTCCTGCATCTTCAGATCAAACCCTCACCTCTTTCTCTTACTTGTCCAAAGCGGGCTAGGGGAACTAAAGGTGAACCTTGGGGAGTATATCAGTATATCATTATAGGGAACAAGGTACCCCAAAAAAGTTGACGGTTATCTCCCCTACTCCTCAGCTTGCAGTTGGGCCACGACGTCTTCGAGCTACTTCTCTGGCATGACAATGGCACCTGTGTCAACCAGCCATCAAACACGTGCCTTCAGAAACATGGCAAGGAGAGAGTCTCACCTACAGGCCCATGGATCCGCTAACGTTTCGTGCAGATCTATGAACGCTCCAGGCTCTTCGTGGACCTCTCGATGCAACATCGTGAACTCTTCACATGGGTCACAGGCATGTTGAAACAATGGCCACGGATTATGTGGCCAACCCAAAGCGCAATACAGACCAGTAAGAGCCTCTCCGACGAATAACGAAGGGGGACTCAGCAAGTAGATAAGGCTTCTGGTGCCCAGTACATAATGACGATATAGAGGCTATACAGGGAGAAACTTTCTAGTCCTTTCCGACAGCTATATCGTAAACCTGAAACCCTGAGAACAAGTAGAAATTATGAACCTAAAGTCCTTAACCTCAAGCCACAGAAAAAAGAAAAAAAACGCCTCACAGTAACAGAGAAGCCTGAGGAGTTGCCAGCTAGTATTCGCTTTTGGCATTCGCACTCGCGGAAGAAAATGCTACTCCTTCGGGTTCGTCAATGCCCCCAAACCCCTGGTCACCCAAAACCACTAGTCTAAGAGATCTGGGCCTGTAGCTGATCGGGGCAAGAGAACCGCCGCTGCACCGGCGGCAGTGGCTCCTCGACTGATTTCGATGAACAGCCAGCATTAATAGTAATAGCACCAGTACTTGTGACGGTCATAGTATGGTCTTAGACAAAGTATAAAGTTACACCAAAGCCTGCACAATAACTACAGCGAAAATGATCGCCTGAAGAGCAGCCGATGTTTCCTTAACACCGCCTGCAGGAGGCAAGCACCACTTGTTATAAAAAACTGAACCAAGATCGGATCCTTGGGGGAAACAGAGTCGCCCTTATTGGAAAAGGGCTTTGGCGTACTTCATACTATCATTAACCCTAAACCCTACTCAACCCTAAACCTACTTGAGGAGCCAGGTTTGTACATGACGAGCCCGGAGCCCCCCACACCTCCCTGCACGCCACCCACGCCCCCCCCACCCCCAAACCAGAAAAAAGAAAGGCCAAAAACAAAAGAAAGCTAAACAAAAATACCCCCTCCGTTTAGAGTCAGCGGTTTGTAGGGGCCTGGGTTTAGAGATGCAGCTACAACCCCAGCATCCTGGGACGAACGTCCGTCTGAAAGACCTCGACAGTGTAGCCACAAATTAGACCCAGGACATCCGTAGACCAGTCGAAGATCCCGACAGACCCCACATGGGGGTTTCCGAAAATCGGGGACCCTAATATAGTACCCTAAATAGTAGGATCCTTATTGTAAGGACCCCAAAATAAAGTACACCAATTTTCGGAAGGTCCCAAATCGAAGCCCATGCCAGACCTGGGGCCGTTCTGGATCAGACTTCCGCCGCTGCATCACTAGCTCCATGTCCTTGGGTGATGCATCAGGGTTTGGTAAATTCAAGGTTGTTAAAGCTTATTTGCTGAGTTCATAAGCACAAAAAAGTGCACACTTTCACTTCTATAAGGGGTCACATTACCCCAAAAAGTTCTAAGTGCGCTCATTCAGCTACATGTTAAGAATTGGGGCTCAAGGGTTCAGTGTTTGGTACTCAGGGGCTTCGCGAGCATCCTTGCTTGCTGCGCTAGGCACAAACAAACTATGGAGTCCAAACATCGCCAAAAACCCATTGTCGACAACGACGGCAGCAAGAGCAACGACAACGACAAGCACAACCACAACAACAACAACAACAATAACAAGAACAAGAAGAACAAGAAGAATAAGCAGAACAAGAACAAGAACAAGAGCAAGAACAATAACAATAACAAGAACAAACAACAACAACAACAACAACAACCAACCAACCAACCAA